GATCTCTAAATTCAGGTGGGATATATTCAAGGTCATATTTTGGCTCTCGTGGACTTGTTTCCATTTTTTTCATTTTCAGTTTGAATTTGCATATGAGTAATTGATGGTGTGTTTCAGAGTCTGGCCTTGTTTTGACTGATGATATGGAGCTTTTCCATCGTCTCTGTCTGCAGATGTAGTCAATTTGATTTCTATGTATTCCGTCACCTCTTATGCTGTCTATAGAAGGTATTTGAAATGAACAAATCATTGATTCTGCAGAATTTTATCATGCGATCTCCATGATTATTTCTATCACCAAGGCCATATTTTCCAACTACTGATTCTTCCTCTTTGCTCCCAACCTTTGCATTCCGATCATCAGTAATGATCAATACATCTTGATTGCATATTTGATCAATTTTCAGATTAAAGATGTTGGTAGAATTCTTCCATTTCATCCTCACTGGTGTTAGTTGTTGGTGCATAAATTTGAATAATAGTGGTATTAACTGGTCTTCCTATAGGTGCATGGATATTATCCTATCACAGACTCCTCTCGCCTGTCAGTTTGTTGTACTGTGGTAGCTTGTGAGTTGATGTGATTCTAAAAGCTCTGCCACAGGTATTTTAAATACCAGCAGAGTCACTCACGGTGGACAGCTTTCAGATGAGATTCCACACGAACACAGACTAGGAAGAAGGAGTGACAAACTACTTCCGAATATTTAGTCACTGAAAACCTTATGAATCGCAAAGAAACAGTACATCTATACAGCTGTAAAAAGGGAGGACGATGATCTCTATCTACTCATATGTGGAAATATTCAAGGTAAATTATGTAGAAGAAAAAAATGAAGTACACAACAGTATATGTAGAAAGCTACTCAATGTAAAAACTGGAAGATATAAGAATATATATTTATAAAAAGGAACACTAGAAAGATAAATCAGATATGAATAAATCTGGTTATTTTCAGGGACCAGACAGAGCACTGAGTAGATGGGATGGGGTGGAAATAACTTCAATGTATTGTATCTTTTTATATAATTTGATTTTTGAATCATGTAAAAGTATAACCTATTCAAGAACATGAGATTTAAAAACATTTGGCTCTCATATACCTGTTTATTGAAAACTTCAAATAATATAGAAGTACATAAAGGGAGAAGTAAAAGGCCCATTTTTGATGAATGCCTTAATCATTAAATCTCCAAATTTACCCTTTCTTTAGAAAGCCTGTTAGTTCTCAAAAATTTAATAAGCATTAATTTTGAAATATTACTGGAAATGTTTTGATCTAGATAATGTTTTCTTTCCTTACCTGTAGAAAGCAATCTTACTGCAGTCTTTGAAAACGTTTTCATCCACAGCCTCATCTTCAACACTAAATAAAAAGATATTTTGAGAAACTTATTTTACTATTTTTGTACTTTCTTTTAGTATGAACATGGAAAATATATCTTTGGAGCCTGTTCTGCAATGCAAAATTGTGTAGCGGCTGTGACATAACATGATATTACGCATGTTGCAGAGTAGTAGTAGCCTTTGTAAATTATCCAAGGCAAACAACAAAATACCAAATTCTGAGACTACTCTGAAAGCAATAGAAAAAGAGCACTGTCTCTATCTTATGAATTTGGTTCAAAAAATTACAACCTATAAAGTGTCTTAGTGAAAAAATTACAAGTTTGTTTAAAATTATAAAACCAAGTTTATGATGACAAAAGAACATTTTGCAAAACCAGGAAACAGAGTGAAGAAGCTTTTGACAAAATACTCCAAGGAGTTACAGGGTTTCCCTCAAACCCAAACCAAACCTACTCCCATTAAGTCAATTCTGACTCAGCAAACCTACAGGACAGGCCAGAACTGCCCCACAGGGGTTCCAAGGCTGTGAAGTGTTCATGGAAGCAGACTGACAGCTTTCTCTCACTGAGGGGTTGGTGGGTTTGAACCACATACCTTTCGGTTAACAGCTGAGCACCACCAGGGCTCCGGTTAGAGCCTTGTTGTTGTGTTAAGTGCTATCCAGTCAGTTCCGACTCATAGTGACTGTATAGGGTTTCTGAGGAGCAGCTGTTGAATTTGAACCGATGACATTGCGGTTCAAACGGACCTTGCAGTCTAGTGCTTATCTTAGCAAAAACTGCAAGTACAGCTGGAGTGCATTCATGAAGTTGGTAGCATATTGACCATAGTAAGTCTTAAGGGAGGTTAGGTCCCCCTTAGGTTTAGTCTGAACAAGGTATAGAAAAGTATAAAAGTATGGTAAAGGGGGTCAGAAAAAAACAAAAACAAAAAACCCCAGTATTTTTAGGGGGGAAAGTAAAGGAAGTATTTTCTGAGAATTGGCCAACCACAAGAGTTCCGTGTTTCCTGGCACCTATAACTTAGTTTCTGATCTATAGCAAAAGGGAGCTTGTTTCTCAGAGGGGAGCATTAATGGAATTCGATCTGTATTATATTGATGGACTCTGCTAAAGTATGACTATAAACTTCGTTGAAAAAAACAAACACAAGTGAAAGGGCTAATTCGTATGCTTAAGGGCAGAAAAGGTTTTGATACAGAAAAACTGTCTCTATTTAACATTAGTTTGTTCTAAGTACATCTCTCTGAAACTTAACTTCATCTTTTCTTTTCAACATCTGTGTGAGTAAAGTAAGCAAAATTGCATTTTTCTGTAGAGCTGCTCATCTGTAGGTGAAATTTTTACAGAAATGATAGATAGCAGGGAACATTTTTTACAGAAATGATAGCTAGCAGTCCACGTATGACAGAAAAAGTACAGAACTGAGTGAATCAATTAGGACACAGGGATTTGGACTAAAGCTTAGCCAGAAGTTTGAGTTCTATCAAATGTCTTACTTTTGAAATGCACTTTCTCAAAGTCAAAAAATTTTACTTTTTTTGAAGTAAAAATTGAAGTAGCAACATCCTAACAGTTGCAACAAAAATTCACAATCCATTCCCGCTTCCCAGCCCAGTTACTTGCTAAAATCTTTATTTTGAGGATAGTCTTTTACTGAGTTCTGGCCTTGAACGGTGATATAAAGAACTATGTTTAAGCTCTCTGTAAGGGCAAGACCAACAATTACGATAATCAGAACCCCCAAACCCACTGCCATTGAGCCGACAGGACCGAGGAGGACTACTCCGAAGGGTTTCGGAGACTGTAAACCCTTAATGGAAGCAGACGACCTCATCTTCTTCCTGAAGAGCGGCCGGTGGGTTCTGAACCAACAACCTTTTGGTTAGCAGTCCCATGTTTTACCCACTGCCCCATTAGGGCACCTTAACAATTACAGTGGTGGTGGTGGTTTTTATGCGCTTTGGAGTCAGTTCTGACTCATAGTGACTCTGTATAAGGTTTCCTAGGCTATAATTCTGTAAGGGAGCAGCAATCCTCATCTTTCTCTAGCAGATCTGTTCGTAGTTTCAAACTGCTTTGTGGTTAGCAGCTCAACTCCTAACCCACTATGCAACCAGAACTCCTGAACAATCACAACACAAGTCTACACATGCTATATAATTTTCCCCCCTTTTATTGTGTGTTCTTTTTCTTATTCTTTTACATTAAGGGTCCTATGCAGTATTTCTCCTTTTGTGAAGGAGCTCTGGTAGCGTAGTGGTTACGAATCGGGCTGCGAACCTTAAGGTCAGCGGTTCGAAACTACCAGCCGCTCCGCGGGAGAAAGATGAGGCTTTCTACTCCCATAAAGATTTACACCCTCGGAAACCCTGTACAGGGTCGCTATGGGTCGGACCCGACTCGATGGCACTTAACAACAACAACAACATAAGAGAGGTATGTGCAAGTTGCAAGGATTATAGACTCAGATGTAGAAGGAAAATCTTGTGCTTTTTTTTAAGCGAATGCACACAGCAAGATTTCTTAAAAACAAGATTCTAAAAAAACAGCTTCTGGAATAAAATGTAAGATGTATGTGTATTGCTACTTGAGTTTATGTATTTAAATTAGCCTTCATCTCATTTAACTACGCCAGACTTAAAGGGAAAAAAATGGCTTTCATAGAGATGTAGCTGAATACAAAAGAACCTAGTATGTCTACGACTATGTAGCAAGCTATGCTTGAACCCAAATTTCAAAATCTTACTAAAGCAAGACATAATACACTTGGCTACATTAAAACACTGTCCACTATGAGAATAATCAAGACCTTCATTGGACTCAGTCAATCACTTTTAATCCAGTGTGTAAAAGTTAAAGAAACGTGTGGTTTCCTGTTTCTAGGTTTGAAGAATGTCCTCCAGAAAGATACAGGAAACGATGAGTGTTTTTTAATCCCGAAAACAAGCTTGAAATTACTGTGTTAAGAGTTCTGATCACAGTTCTCCTGGTGGTGGTGGCTGTATGTCATGTAGTCACTTCCGACTCAGAGCCAGCCCTGTACTGGGTTTCTGAGGCTGGAAATCTTTACTGGAGCAGAAAGCCTCATCTTTCTCCCACAGAGTGACTGGTGGATTAACACGCAATCCGCTATATTACCAGGTCTCCTTCACAATTCTCCTGCTACATTACTTAAACATTGTGAAAGTGTTTTTTGAAGGGTGTGGTGCTGTGGGTTAATGTGCTGTACTGCAAAGTCGGTTTGAACCACACCAGTGGCTCCTGGGAAACCCTATACAGCATCGCTATGGATCGGAACCGACTTGATGGCACTTGACAACAACAACAACAACAACAATTTGTTAATACTGAGCTCTGGTGCAGCGTTGTAGTATAAGTACTGCATTGCTAAGCGCAAAGTTGGCAGTTCAAATGCACCAGCGGCTCTTGGAAACCCTAAACATAGGGTCGCTATGATTCACAACCAACTCGTTGGCACACATTATTCATTAATAATCAACTAACTCTGGGGAATTGAGAGAATAAACGAAAAAGATTTAAGTAGGCAAATAAATGCAGAGAAGCGGAATCAGTAAAACCTTCAAAGCCAGAAGGTTGCTTTCAGGTACTATATTACCTGCCTCCGTAGGCTCTGAAGCCAGTCCCTGTTGGAGCACTGGGCCTTTACCTGACTTCTTCCTTAGCTGCTTCCATGGCTCCCAGTAGCTCCGGGAAATGGCTCTCTCTTCTTTGGCCAAAGAGATTTCCTTTAAGCGCCAACTGGTCTTCTTTCTAATTTACAACCAATACTTCATCACCGGTGAGGCTCTAGATACGGATCTCCCTCCAGGTCCTTAAGGAGACGAATCTTGCCTCTTACTTCTGAGGCAATTTTTAAAGTGATGTTGACAACTGCTGAGGAAACGTGCTTTGGTTGCGGTATCTCAGCACCGAAACTGCCTTTGCAGTGGAGGGGGCGTGAATTCACTGAGCCCTAGTGAATAACCAGGAGTCGCGGAAAGCACTAAACAGCCTCCTAGACTGGGAGGTTTATGTACGTGGTGGCTTCCAGTGGGAAGTGTCAGATGGCCGTTGTTCTCTGGCCAAACGGTTCTGCAGCTTCATACTTTTCAGGGGTTAGAAGGAGCCTTTAAAGACCATCTTTAAAGACCACCCAGTGCTTTCACTCTGTCAAATTTCAGCCTTTGCTTAAACTCATCAACTTTCCCAAACTCATTTCCAGATGCCAATCAGGCAGAAAGACTAACTTTTCCCAGACCCCTGGCCCACGTGTCTGATTTGGAAGGAACGACGAGCTAGGGAGAGCAAAATGAGCAGAGTGGTTAACTCTGCACCGAGAGCCTGTCCAATTCCCAAACCGTTTGAGGTCTGGGAGAAAGATGAGGGCCGAGGCCAAGGAAGCTGAAAGTCCTCACTGTCCCAGGAGACCTCCAAGGTTACGGCGGGACGACGTAGTCTCACACGAAACGATGACAACGCCCGAAGGAGGGACCATTGGATCACCAAACAAACAAGCCCCGTGAGGTTTTGAGAGCCCGGATGATCCCGCCCCCATAGCAGAACCGGAAGTGGGCGGTACAGACCGGAAGAAGGTGAAATGCTTTCGGCAGACACTCTTGGGTTGTGAAGATGGCGGCGGCTGCGTGGCTTCAGGTGTTGCCCGTCATTCTTCTTTTAATGGGGGCTCAGCCGTCTCCATTGTCATCTTTCGGTGTAGGTCCGGCATCGGTAGCTGCTGCGGACAGATCAAAGTGGCACATTCCAATACCTTCGGTGAGTGTTCATTTCAATTGTGTATGAGCCCTGAGGACTAAGGGGTGGGGCTACGGTGGCCCAAAGGGTCCAGGAAGGTTTGCAAAAGTCCGCTTTCCAAAACGATGAAGTGTCTTTCGCTAGCCAAAAGAGTCCCCACCTCCCTGAAGCGGAAAGTAACACGCTTCTTTGGGTAGAATAGCCGGAATGTCAGGGTCTCTTCAGGACCGAGAACGAGTCGTGGGTCAATTTCTTGTCGAAAAGGAAGAGAACTGTTACTGTGAATTTGTCAACTTGGTGTGTAGTCGGAGTGTGGTCTCCTTTTAGCTAAAGTTTCACAGAATCCAGTGACTGGATTGGGGGAGACGCATCATCTTCTTTTCTGTTTGCTTGGTTGTTTTTCCTCTGCACTTTTTAAATTTCTTTGCAGGAAGTTGTTTGAGTTCATTTGCATTTTGTAATTGTTATTCTAAGCTTCCTCGTGTAATTCCTTTGCATGTATTTTAACATGGGAATGGGTACAATAGAAGAAATAACATTCTAAAGTTTAATGTGACATGGCTAGTCTTTCTTTTGGACAATTTACTAGCTAGATTAAGTTTCTCTGCCCCCCCTCTTGCCCTTTAAAACTTTTTTGGAATAAACCCAGTGAGCTGACAAGAAGAACCAGTTGCATGCAGGAAATGCTGAAAAGCATTAGTCCTGTAAAAACATGTGGAATCCTGGTGTGGTGCTATAAGGATCAGCACTGGGCTGCTAACCTAACCGCAAGGTTGGTCGTTCAAACCCATCAACTGCTCCTTGGAAACCCTGTGCAAGATCGCTGTTAAATCAACAATGTTGTTGTTGTTCTGTGCTGTGGAGTCGGTTCAAACTCATAGCGACCCTGCACAGGGTTTCCAAGGCTGTCGATCTTTATGGGAGCAGAAAGCCTCATCTTTCGCCCGCGGGAACAGCTGGTAGTTTCAAACTGATGACTCTGAGGTTAGCAGCCTGATTGAATCAACAATGTTGTCAGGTGCCATCGAGTCGGAACCGACTCATAGCGACCCCACGCACAGCAGAACGGAACAATGTCCGATCCTGGGCCAACCTCTCTACTGCCGCCACACTAGCTAGATGCCATCAATGATGCCACCTGGCTGATCCATCTCGTTGGGGGTCTTCCTCTTTTTCTCTGATCCTCCACCTTACCCAGCATGACATCCTTCTCCAGTGACTGTTCTCTCCCAACATAAAAACTTGTTGGCCTTTTTGTTTCGTTTTGCACTACTCACTGGTTGAAATAAATACTGAACTCTTATTTGGACTATCATATGGTGAGCTTTGTAGGTCTTGCTCATTTGGTGATGATCATCAGGTTTTCAATTTTAGACTTTTACCTTTTGTTATTAAAATAAGTCATTTAGATTTAAAAATACACTCTGGTTTTCACTCACTCTTGTTTAGTGCCTTTGAGTCAACTCAGCAAACCTGTGTAGGGTTTCTGAGGAGCAGCTGGTGGAGTTTGTGGTTCGTAGTCCCTTGCTTATCCTACAGTGCCACACCAGAAGTCCATTTCTCTCATAGAATATGTAATTTGAAAGTGATTGGTTATTCTAGGCAGTGGTTAGTGGGTAAAAGGAATAAACTGTTTAAGGGATACCTCTCCTCCCTCACACACATATAGCAGCCTCTCTTCTACAGTCCTTACCTGAAGTGAAGAATCATGTCTCTTGGCCATGAAGCAAAGTCCTGCTGATTAGATATGGTTGAATTTTACTAAAAGGAGAGATACTGATGTCTTTTTTTAAGAAGACAAATTTGAATGTTTTATAAATTTACGCTATAATACTAGTTATATTCTGCTTTGGTGGTTAATGGTGTGATGCTGATTATCTTTCTTTGCTTTATCTCTGCAGGGGAAAAATTATTTTAGTTTTGGCAAGATCCTCTTCGGAAATACCACTATCTTCCTGAAATGTGAGCTTTTGAATTCCATGAAGTTGTTTGTTGAAGTTATTGAGTGATCTTTAAACTTTTAAATAACTTATTTTCTGCTTCTAATGAACTATTGTCAACATTGTTTTTTACATTAAAACATTTTAGAATAAAATTTAATTGTGAAACATGTCACAAAATATTTCAACTACTTTTATGTAAATTGATGACATTAATTACATTCACCATATTGTTCAGCAGTTATCACTACCCATTTCCAAATTGTTTTATCATCCTTAACAAAACCTCTGTATCACTTAAGCAATAATTGTTGTTGTTGTTAAGTGCCGTTGAGTTGGTTCTGACCCATAGCGACCCTGAACAGGGTTTCCGAGGCTGTAAATCTCTGTGGGAGCAGAAAGCCTCATCTTTCTCCTGCAGAACAGCTGGTAGTTTTGAACTGCTGACCTTGCAGTTCACAGCCCGATTTGTAACCACTACGGTACCAGACCAAAGCAATAATTGTTGTTGTTGCTAAGTGTCGTCAAGTCGATTCTGACCCATAGCGACCCTGTATAGGGTTTCCGAGGAGCAGCTGGTGAGTTTGAACTGCTGACCTTGCAGTTCAAAAGACTTTGCAGTCTGGCTCATTAACCCAGAGCACCACACCAGACTCCAAGCAATAATTGTTGTTGTTGTTAAGTGCTGTCGAGTCGGTTCTGACCCATAGCGACCCTGTACAGGGTTTCCGAGGGTGTAAATCTTTATGGGAATAGAAAGCCTCATCTTACTCCTATGGAGCAGCTGGTAGTTTTGAACTGCTGACCTTAAGGTTCGCAGCCCGATTCTTAACCGCTAAGCTACCAGAGCTCCTTAAGCAATAATTAGCCCTCCCATTATTTCCTATTGCTACCCATAGCAAAACCAAAACCAAACCCATTGCCGTCAGTTAATTTCAGCTTTTAGTGATCCTATATATAAGACAGACTACAACTGCTCCATAGGATTTTCAAGGTTGTAAATTGTTACTGAAGCAGACTGCCGTATCTTTCTCCCCGTTCAGCTGATGGGTTCAAACCACCCAACCTGTTTGTTAGTAACCAAAGACTTTAACCACTGAACCACTAAGGTTCACATCAAGTAGCCACTTTATCCATATCAAGTAGCCACTCATGAACTTTAATCTCTGTTACATTTCCCTATTCTGAATATTTCATATGAGTGGAAATATCCTTTGGATATATCAGTACTTCAGTTCTCTTTTTAACTGAATTTTCATTGTGTGTGGTGGTGGTGTTAAGTATAGGGTTTCTGAGGAGCAGCTGGTGAGCTTGAACCGCCGGTCTTGTGGTTCAGACTGACCTTGCAGTCTAGTGCATTAACCTGTATGTAATGCCACACCAGTCAGTACTCCTCATTGTGTGTTTATGTGTGTGTATAGTATCTATATGTATTTATCTATCCAGGTATAGTTACAGATTGTTGTGTGCTATTGAGTTGGTTATGACTCATAGTGACCCTGTATAGGATTTCTAGAGTGACTGGTAGGTTTGAACTGCTGACCTTGTGGCTAGTGTGGTTAGCAGTTCAGTGCTTATCCTACAGTGCTACACCAGGGCCCTATATTATTATTGTTGTTAAGTACTGTTGAGTTGGTTCCAACTCACAGCAACCCTGTATAGAGTATCCAAGGAGCAGCTGGTGGGTTTGAACCGCCAATCTTGTGATTTGTAGTCCAGTGCTACTGCTGTGCTGCAGTACCACACCAGAAGTCCAGTACCCTATATACAGGTATATACACGTGTGTGTGTGTGTTGTTAGTGCTGTTGAGTCAGTTCCGACTCATAGCGATCCTATAGAGGGTTTCCAAAGAGAAGCTGGCGGGTTTGAACCGCCAACTCTGAGGTTAGCAGTCTAGTGATTATCATTCAATGCTATACCAGGACACTCTCTCTATATATGTACACTCATGCGCACATACACAGAGTCTGTGGGTTAAAAATGATGGATTTTTGTACAACCTGTAGTTACAAGTTAACCTTATATTAAAAATTTGAAATCTGAACAATGGTTTGTAATAACAAATAGGTGCTATTTTGTGAGTTACGTCAAAATGTTATTATTGTTACTGTATCATTTGCTTGGCAGAGCTTCAGCTAAAAAGGAAGACTCAACAAGATGGATTGACACAGTGGCTGTAACAATTGGCTCAAACAGCAACAATTGTGAGGATGGTGCAGGGCCAGGCAGGGTTTTGGTCTGTTGTACATAGAATTGCTATGAGTTGGAACCAGCTTGATGGCACTTAACAATAGTTGTGTTATTATGTTACAGATGTTTTAATATATCTGGAAGTGTGTCTTCAATTTTTTTTATTTTTTATGGATAGAAATGTACACTATACATTGTATTTGTATACAAATAATGGAATGTTACACAGTATCTGTAAACTAAGGAGCTCTGGTAGTATAGTGATTACTTACTAGTCGGGCTGCTAATCTCACTCACGGTCAGCAGTTTGAAACTCCCAGCGGTTCTGTGGGAGAAAGGTGAGGCTTTCTGCTCGTGTAAAGATTTACAGCCACGAAAACCCTATACAGGGTTGCTATGTTGAGTCTGAACCGACTCCACAGCACATAACCACCAACTACTGCCACGCAGTCCCTGAAACATTAGTTTCCTATAATGGCAAGCTCTACTTCTTATAGAAGTGTACAATATTTACTTGGGCACTTTTTGATATATTAAAAAATAATGTTACGAAGACATTTGACTAACTGATAGATTAGATTTGAATTTACATATAAATTTGGCTAATGACAGACTCATTCATAATCCAGGGATTGCTTGTGCTACATTATATTTATTTTATTCACCTGTTAATTAACAGGAGCTATGTAAGTATCTGTTGGCGTTTCTAGTTTCAGTTCTTTTGGCCTTATGCCTAGGAGTAGAGTTACTGGGTCTTTAAGTTTTTGAGGTACCGCCAAATTGTTTTTCCATAATGCCTGTACCATTTTACAATTCCACTAGTAGTGGATGAGAATTCCAGTTTCTTCATGTCCTCTCCAACACTATTTTCCTTTTTTCTTATAATAGCCATCAATGGTGGTTGTGTAGCACCAGACTGGTAACTGCAAACTCGGCAGTTGAGATCCAGCGGCTGCTCTCAGAACCCTGTACAGGGCTAGTATGAATTGGAAACTACTTGATGGCACACAGCAGTGAAGTGATATTTCATTGTGATTGAAATTTGCATTTCCTTAGTGATTTATGACAGTGAACATTCTTTCATGCACATTTTGTTTTTTTGTATATCTTCTATGGTGAAATGTCTATTCAAATCTTTTGCTGATTTAAAATTTTGATGAAATTCTGTTTGTTTTGTCTTTTATTGCTTGGGATTTTGGTGTCTTATCCATGAATCCATTGTCAAAAACAGGGTCTTGAATCTTTGCACCCATGTTTTTTTGTTACCTAAGAGTTTTATGGTTCTAATTCTTACAGTTAGGTCTTTGATCTATTTTGGGTTAATTTGCATAGATGGTGTGAATCTAACTTCCTTCTTTTGCATGTGGAGATCCAATTTTCTGAACACCATTAATGGAAGAGATTATTTTTCCCCATTGAATGGTTTTAGCATCCTTGTCGATTATTTCTGGACTCTGAATTCTACTTCATTGGGCAGTGGATCTATTGTTGTACCAGTATCAGACTGTTTTGATTATTGTAGCTATAGATAGTATATTTTAAAATTTCAAAGTCTGAGTCTTCCTACTTTATTCTTCTGTTTCAATATTGCTTTGGATATTTGAAATCTCTTACAATTCCAAATAAATTTGAGGATTGTCTTTTTGATTTCCACAAAGAAGACTTTTGGAATTTTGATAGGAATTGTGTTGAATCATATGCTTCATTTTGAATAGTACTGGCATTTTAACAATATTAAGTCTTCTATGAGTTCAGAGGAGTCCTGGTGTGGCACTGTAGATGCACTGGACCGCAAGATTGGTTTGAGCTGCAAGGTTGACAGTTCAAAGTCACTTGGAAACCCTAGATAGGGTTGCTGTGAGTTGGAACTAACTCGATGGCACTTAACAACAATGAGCTCAGAATGCCTTTCCATTTATTTAAGTCTTAAATTTTAGTTCTTCAAACTTACCAGTTGCTCCTTGGAAGCCCTAGTATAGGGTCGCTAAGGAGCTCTGGTAGTGCAGTGGTTACAAGTCAGATTGCAAACCTCAAGGTCAGCAGTTCGAAACTACTGGTGGTTCCGTGGGAGAAAGGTGAGGCTTTCTGCTCCCGTAAAGATTTACAGCCTCGGAAACCCTGTGCAGGGTCACTGCTATGAGTGCGAACCGACTCCACAGCATAGAACAACAACAATAGTCTAGCACAATCTAGAAATGCTTTAGCACCTGTAATTATAACTAAGTTCCTTTCACTGAATAGTCTATAGAATACTTCTTGTACTTCATTTTCTTTGCTTGTTTTTCTGGTGTTTGCTACATGTAGTTAGATACTTAGTCACATCTCAGTTGAATTACGTTTAAGTTTGTGAATTGATTTTGTGTATGGTTTTTAAATTGTTCTTAGTTATTGAGATACCACCAATTTTGTCTTCATGTCAAATGTTTGCTGGAACATAAGACTTAAGTTTGTCAAGCCATTCAGTAAGTCTTTTATTTACAAAAGGAGTACTTTGCACCACCTGGATCATTTGAAGAGGAAGCTCAAATATATTATCAGGAAATTGGGATTATATGGAACAAAACCAGTCTGTCCAGTGGAAAAACCACTGTGTTTGCATCTAAATTATCCCATTGTTTCTTAAAGAAAAGCTTTCTTGAGTTATTAGGTGCCATCTAGTTTGTACTGACTCATAGTGACTCTGTACAAAACAGAATGAAACACTGCTGGGTTCTGCGTCATCCTAACAACAGTTACATTTGAGCCTACTGCTACCTTTATCTTAGAGACTCTATTTCAGAGAATAAATGATCATGGGCATTCTATTGAATGATTAGGGATAAAAATCTGGATCATCCATGTGTGCTGCTCTGCTTACCTCTCTCCATAAAGTGCAAAGTTGCAAGTCATGGTTGGTTGACCTTGTTCTTTAATTATTTATAAATAATCATTGAATATCATACTGTTTAGACTACAGGAAAGTGATCTAAAAGGTCCCTCCTTTCACTTCATTGTTTTTGGAGGATTTGAGGTGCCTTAAACTTTGGTCTTTCTCTTTATTTGTATACTATATGTTAGAGTTTTTTGGGCATTTTTTATTTTCACTGAATAAACCAAAAAACAGTTGCTATAACTGTTCCAGAACAGAACTGCTCCATAAAGTTTTCTTGGCTGTCATCTTTATGGAATCAGATCACCAGACTTTTCTTACATGGCACTGGCTGAGTGGATTCAAACCATCAACCTCACCCTAGGTGTTGAACACAAACCATTTTCACTGCCCAGGGATCTTTGCTTTTAATAAAACCCAAGAACCAAAGTCACTGCCATCGAGTCTAAACCGACTGATAGTGACCCTGTGGCTAAAGTAGAACTGCTCCTTGGGTTTCTGAGACTAAATCTTTACAGGCACAGTCAGCTTCATGCTTGATGGCTTTGAGATTAGCAACCCCAACTATGTCATTTACCCACTATGGTATTATGCTATGTCACAAAGTCTCCTTTCCTGTTAACTCTACTGTCACAGTTAATTCTGACTCATAGTGACCCTATATAAAGTCTCCCAAGACTGGAAATTTTGTAGGGACAGATAACTTCTTCATCTTTCTCCCTTGGAGCTGCTGGTGGGTTTGTATCGCCAACCTTGTGTTAGCAGCCTGATGCTTAACCCACAGCACCACTAGGGAGCCTTTTCTTTTGACTAAGCAAGGCCAATCTCATTGTCTTTTAAAACTCCTATTCAAAGTAACAAATATTTTTTAACAGAATTAGTAATACTTTTGAAGCTGTTTCCTCACAGACTTCCTGTTTAGGGTACATTTTCTTACTGGCTTTAAATTACTCAGTCTTGTGGCGCTGTAGGATAAGCACTGGACTGTGAGCCAAAAGGTTGGTGGTGCAAACCCACAAACTGCTCCTCCGAAACCCTACACAAGGTCACTAGGAGTCGGAATTGACTCAGCAACACTGTTCCGATAGATTATAGCAAGATTGCAATATGTATTGTTCCTATAGAACCTGTTCAACAGGTGAGGTTTTTATGTATTTTAAGAGTTTTGTAAATATGTGCTAGCTTGGAAACCCTATACAGAGTTGCTATGAGTTGGAATTGACTTGAAAGCACTTACAACAACAGTTTGTTAGTTTTTGGAAACAATTTAAAATAAAAAGTGAGCTTATAATCAGGCATATGGCTTGTTAAAGAACAGAAAGGAGGATCCTATATATAGTCATTATTTTTTGTCACATTTACATAAAGTGGGCAGTCTCCAGTGTACATTTTCTTAGGTAGGTGGAAGCAGGGAGAGGCACCGTAGGTTAAGTAAGCACTGGACTGTGAACAAGGTTGATGTTCAGACACACCAGCCGCTCCTTGGAAACCCTATTCAGCAGGGTTGGGGAACCTTTTTTTCTGCCAAAATTTATGACATCATCTGCTGGCCATACAAAATTATCAACTTAAAAATTAGCTTGCTATATTTGGTCAAAGAAACTCTGGTATAGCTTAGTGGTTACGAGTCAGGCTGCTAACCTCAAGGTCAGCAGTCGAAACTACCAGCTGTTCTGCATAAGGAAGATGAGGCTTTCTGCTCATGTAAAGACTTATAACCTTGGAAACCCTATGCAGGGTTGGAACCAACTTCGCAGCTTACCACCACCACCGCCACCTTACGTTTGGGCAGGGAATGGTCTCTGAGTGTCTCAAATTGGGTTAGGAAATAAATGGGATATGGGCTGTTTAGGAAAAGTGCTTTTGTTAGTGAATCATCTTTTATTTGCAAGCATTTCTTCTCTTATAGTTGATGGAGAACCTTGTGATCTGTCTTTGAATGTAACGTGGTTTCTGAAAAGTGCTGACTGTTACAATGAAATCTTCATCTTAAAGGTAAATGGTCATAGAATTAGAAACTTTTCTCCAACATTAGAAATCATCTGGCTGTAACCTCTTGAATTTTATTTAGAGAAAAGTGTCACATAGTTCTAGAGCAGCAGAGGTAGAATTAGAATCCAAGCCTCCCAGCAGTTCTTATTCTTAAACTTTTTGATAACAAGACCTTTAAAGATTTTTAGAAATTGTTGCAGTCTCTTGTTTGTGTGAGTTACTGAATTAGAAATTAAAGCAGAAAGTGCAGAATATTTAAAAAGACCTACCCAGATAGTATCATAATAAATAATTTTGACTGTTTTACCAAGAATGTCCTTAAGTTAAACTAGAATTTGTTTTTTTTTTTTTTAACCTCAAGTTTGTGACTGAATAATACAGTGATTACAGTTTGGTGTTACATTGATAGGGAGCAGCAATTTTACTCACGATTGCTTTTGTACTATCAGTGCAAAAAAACCCCAAAAAACATCTTATGAAATAACTTTGACTTCTTAGACCTTGAGAAAGGATTTCAGGGAGCCTCCAGTGCCCACTGGCCACACTTTGTACTGCCTTATACTTCAGCATTGAAAACATAGAGCTCCAAGTTGGCTTTTTCAAGTCTTTTCCATTCGTTTGCATAATTTTCTTTTCTATTTTAAGGATTCCTCTTCTGTTCTTGAGGTTTCCTTCTAAAGATAATTTGATTGGTCTTTAAAAAATACTTACCATGGGCTATCTCAGTTTTTCAAAACCTAAACATTTTGAATCTCTGCCTACTAATAAGGTAATTTTACATTACCTTTTTGAAGTACTAGGAGTTGCTTTTTGCTTTTGTTATATAACATAGATAGGATTGATATGAAGGAAAAGACTAAAGAATTTGGAAGGAAATGATAATCTTTCTAGAATATGGTTTGACATTTCTTAGATCTTTTTCTATTTACCAGTTGTTCATTGGCCAATTTGTTGTTCTGTGGTGACTTACATGTGGGCTGTGATGCTGGAAGCTATGCCACCAATATTTTAAATACCAGCAGAGTCACCCATGGTGGACACGTTTCAATAGAGATTCCAGATGAAGACAGACTAGGAAGAAGGACCTGGTGATCTACTTCTGAAAAAATTGCCCAGTGAAAGCCTTTGGGATAATAGCAGAACATTGTTTGATAAGTACTGGAAGATGAACCCTTCAGATCGGAAGGCACTCAAAATATGGCTGAGGAAGAGCTGCCTTCTCAAAATAAAATTGACCTCTATGATGTAGATGGCATAATACTTTTGGAACCTAAATCTGCAGACTTGGCATAACTCAAAGAAACAACAGCTTCAGACATCTTTTATTAATTGGAATGTGGAATTTACCAAGTATGAATCTAGGAAAATTAGAAGTTGTCAAAATGAAATGGAATACTTGAAGATCAACATCCTTGGCGTTAGTGAGTTGAAATGGACTGGAATTGGCCATTTTGATATAGACAGTTAAATGGTCTCTTATGTCAGCAGTGACAAATTGAAGAAGAACAGTGTCACATTCACTATCAAAAAGAACATTCTAAGATCTGTCCTGAAATGGATATAGAGTAATATACATACAACTACATTGAAGACCAGTTAAGGTGTCTATGCCAAGAAATTTAGAAGACAGTTACCTGGCCAACTGAGTGGATCAATTGGAATTAGAGATCTTATTCCAAAGAAAGGTGATCCTTCAGAATGTAGTTATTATTGAGCAATATCAGGGAACTCTGGTAGCGTAGTGGTTACGAGTTGGGCTGCTAACCTCAAGGTTAGCTACCAGAGGTTCTGTGGGAGAAAGATAAGGCTTTCTGCTCCCATAAAGATTTATAGCCTTGGAAAAGCACATAATCACCACCACCGTCATTAATATCACATGCAAGTAAAATTATCCTGAGGATAATCCCAAATTGGATGCAGCAGTACATTAACAGGAAGCTGCCAGAAATTTAAACTGGATTCAGAAGAAGATGTGGAATGAGAGATTGCTGATTAACTAATGGATCTTAGCTGAAAGCAGAGGATACCAAAAAGATGTTAACCTGTGTTTTATTGACTATGCAAAGGCATTTGACTATGTGGTCATAAAAACTTATGGGTAACATTGTGAAGAATGAACATTCAAAAACACTTAATTGTGCTCATGTGGAACCTGTACATATACCATGAAGCAGTTGTTTTAACAGAACAAGGAGATTATATTTGTACTGTTGTTGTTAGTAGCTGATTTTCACTCAAGGCGACCTCAGGTGTGTAAACTAAACTACTCTAGAGTTTTCATGGTTGTGACCTTTGAGAAGCAGATCTCCAGGCCTGACTCCCAAGCATCTCTGGGTGGGTTTGAAATGTGACCCTCTCTATTAGTAGACTAGCACATAACCATTTGCATCACCCAGGAACTTCTGTATTTTGTAGGAAAGGAGATCTTTTTTCTGCTTTTAAATATATTGTTTGTGAATATCATCTTGCGAATGGTAAATATTTTTTATTTGCTGTATTTTTTCAGACAGAAGATATAGAGAAATATTTGGAAAAACTTAAGGAAAAAAGTGGCTTGTCTGGGAAATATCAGACGTCATCAAAAGTGTTCCAGAACTGCAGTGAACTCTTTAAAACACAGGTATTGTTCAGAAGAGGCTGGAGGGAAGAGGTGGTGGCGGCGGCTGTGTGCCATGGAGTCGGTTCTGATTTATAGTGACCCTGTACAGGGTTTCTGAGGCTGTAAATCTTTATGGGAGCAGAAAGCCTCATCTTTCTCCCGTGGACCAGCTGGTAGTTTTGAAGAAGAGTGAAAAATGTAATGCGTGTGTTGTTGTTAAGTGCCATTGAGTCAGGTCCAATTCATAGCAACCCTGTATAGGGTTTCCAAGGAACTGCTGGTGAATTTGAATTGCCAACCTTGTGGTTTATACTGACTTTGTGATCCATTGCTTACCCTGTAGCAACACACCAGACTTTTGGCTCTATCTACCCCTCCTCCTCACCGCCACTAGCAGTATTGGAAAGCATGTCTGATATGTGTATACCCAGCCACTTACGTATTGATTCACCTAACAGAAGAAAGGATATGCCTTCTTTTGTGCTTAAAAAGCAAGGCCAGAGTTTTAATTGTTTTGTCATCTTATCTAATTCATATGGCCCCACAAAAATCAGAGTTGTTAGGTTTTATCTGCTGTAGACCTGAAATCAAAAGAGTTTTTCACGACTTCATGGTTGCCTTTTGCACCTTGTTTTGGGGAGAAGGGGTGAATAAATGAATAATAGTGTATATTTTCATGCTTAGCTATATGTAGTCTTGTAAGTTGGGTTTCTTATTTGAAATTTTATTTCCTTAGAAATAATGCACTAATACTAGTAAAAAATTAAAAAAAAAAAAATGGTGAAAGTACTCATATTGTTGTTATTTTTAAGTGCCATCAAATCAGTTCCCACTCATGGCAACCCTGTATAGGATTTCTGAGATTTTAAATCTTCACGGGGGCAGAAAGCCTCATCTTTCTTCTATAGAGCATCTGGTGGACTCAAAACTGCCAACCTTGTGATTTGCAGTCCAGTGCTTATGATATGGAGCCACTGTGCTCCCAGAGTACTTATATAGACAGCCATAGTACCGCTTACATATACAAATGTAAACAAAACACTTGCCATTCAACCATATTCACACATGCAATCCAACTACACCAACCACATTCCCCATGCGCTGCAACCACCACCACAGTCTTTTTTTAAAAAAGTTTTTTATTGTGGATTGAGTAGAAAGTTTACAGGGTAGATCATCAGTTTTATATTCAACAAATCATATACTTTGTTTCATTACGATGATTATAATCCCCTCCATGTACCATCAGTTAACAGTATTTCTCTCTCTTCATTTTAGCTTTTTTTTAAAAAAATTTTTTTTAACGTTTTTATTGTAAATTGAGTGCAAATATACAGGGCAGATCATCAGTTTTACGGTCAACAAACAATACACCTTGATTCACTAAAATGATGATAATCCTCTCCATGTACCATCAGTTAACAGTATTTATCTCTATTCACTTTAGATTTTTTCAAAAACAAAAAAAGCACTCAGGCATATATAATAATTTACACCTCCAAAGGGCACAGTCTACAAGTCTGCCTCCTGGCCACCAGCTCTTAGCCCCTCTCTTCCCATGAATCTAGAGTTCTTAGTCGCTCCCCTTCTCCATAACCCCATCTCTGCCTCCATCTCTGCTTCTCTGGATAAGTTCCCACATTCTGCTTGTGCTCTTCTCCCCTGATGGTCCTAGGGTCCTCTGTTTCTGGACTCTTAAGATTAACCACTCCCCTGCTTTTGTTTCAAAACTTCTACCTTTACAATTGTGACAGATGCAATTAGTCATGATAACAATTATTCACTGTTGAATCATAAGAAACCTATTCACATCTCTTTTCACCAGACCCATCTAGACAAGATGAAAACTATTAGTGGAAACTCTACCTTTACCCGCACACTCTTAAACTAAATTCCCTCTTGAAACCTTGTAAGCCAGTCACTTTGTGCCTTTATCACCCCCTCATTTTAGGTTGTTGTTGTTAAGTACCGTGAAGTTGGTTCCGACTCATAATAACCCTGCATAGGGTTACTGAGGATATAAAACTTTATGGGAGTAGAAAGCCTCATTTTTCTCCCGCGGAATGGCTGGTAGTTTCGAACTGCTGACCTAGGGTCAGCAGCCCGATTCGTAACCACTAGGCTACCAGAGCTCCTTAGGTAGCCAATGTCTAAATTGCCCGTCCCTATCTACCCTGTGTACAGAGAGGATAGCATTGATACTTGATGTGAAGACTCCTTCCCTCTCTGTTGGTATTTAGAGTTACTACCTCCATGAGTATAGGTCAGGTTCATCAGATTGTAGCAATTTACCCTTGTTTCCTTTATCAAAAAGATTGTTTTTTTTTGTAATCTTCCTCTATTCGAGTTCTGATTATCAAGCTATTGAGGCTAGGTCAAATGCGTACTGTCTGCAAGTTTGGGTTTTCGTATGCATCTCCCCTCACTTCACATCAGCTGTATGCTTCACTCTCAGCTCTAGCTCTCTGTGGCTAAGTCCTTGTCCATGGGCTCAGGTGTCCCCAGGTCTCACCACACTTTGGACCAACCAGCCCTTCCTCTCCTCTCTCTCATCTCCAGGTCAATGGGAATCAATGGACTGTGATTGAACTCAGCCCATTTCTTCATTGTTGCCTTTCCCCCTCTTCTGCTCACCAGTAGACCAGTGTGGTTGCCAGCAAGCTTACATCACTGCTCATGTGTTCCCTTTGCGTTTCAGTCTCAGAGAGGAGTTTGTCCTGAAGGAACTTGATTACTTGCATTGTTGGCTCTCTAGCGAACATCTTGCTTATTCTTGTAGCAGCCAGTCATGCTGACATTTTTGTTTTTGGTTTTCCCTGCTGATCTTTCTTAGAAAATGTATCTTTTGTTGCTTTAGCTGTTCCAGGATGGTCTGCTTGTCCTTGCTAGTGGGAATGTCCCACCTTATAAGGTTCTGGATGGGACTCAGGATTCCATCTAAGCTCCTAAACTCTGCAAAGGCTTTGCAAGAGGTTGGGCAAGTTCTAGAACCCCTTTTAGGTATTTCAATCAGTTATAGGCTGAAGACAGGCTTACAAGTTTTCTGTAATCATGTTTCCCGACATTCCTTCTATCCCACTCAAGTGTCTATTTTACAATAGTAGGCAAGGGAAACCAATATTCATAAGACAGTCAAGCATCTTAGTATTATTTCTCCTCTTCAAAATATGCCTAGATCCTTGTATCACAAAACCCTCTTGTTCCAAGATTGAGCATGCATCACTATTTACCTCTGTCCCACTTAGCCCATTCAAACCTGTCTCAGCGTTCCCCTATCTAATATGTTCTTCCATTTCCTCCTCCTTCTTGTATTCCTCTCCCCAGCACCCAAAGTATAACTGTGATGTATCTGCTCTTACCCTGTGCTGTACTGTTGCCTCCCTCCTCCTCCTCCTAAACCCCCCACCCCAACCGCATCATTGTGGTTACCTTATATTCCATTAACTTTTCCCTCCATTTAAGACATTTTATCCTGTAATCTACCTGACCTTCTCACCACCTGGATCTCTGTTCCTCTGTGTTTACCTTCATTCAAATTGTAATTGCTTTGATCATAAACTGACCTCCCAGATTCTCTGAATTTGTTCTTATAGTTTTGCTCTGTTTTCAATTCTTCCATTTGTTGATTGAGTTCCAGGTGGTGTGCCATGTATGTCAATCTCTGATTGTTGTCTGTTCTTGTTGGTTCTCAGTCCACAGAATTCCCTTTAGGATGTTTTGCAGCATGGGGTTGGCTTTGGCAAAATTCCTTAGCTTCTGTTTATCTTGGGATGTTTTGATTACACTGTTGTATTTCATTGACAGCTTTGCTGGGTAGAAGATTCTTGGTTGGCAGTTTTTTTCTTTCAGGGTTTTATATATGTCTCCCTTTGCTTTCTTGCCTGAATGGTTTCTGTTGAGAGAGCCGAGCTTAATCTGATTTGCTTGCCTTTGTAGGTTACACATCAGTTTTCCCTAGCTGCTTTTAGGATTCTGTCCTTATTTTTGAGTTTGGAGAGCTTGATTAGTATATATGTCTTGGTGACTTTTTTTTTTTAGGGTCTATTTTTCCTTCCTGAAGTTCGTTAAACTTCTTGAATGCTTATCTTTTTTTCACTTTTGAGGATGTTAGGGAAATTTTCTTCTAAAAGCTCTTAAACTATCTCGTCTGTGGACTTGTGTGACTTTCCTGTTACGGAATGCTGATAATTCTTAAGTTATTTCTCTTCATGTTTTCCAACATGAATCTTAGACCTTCTTCAGATTTTTTTAATCCTTTTTTGTGCTTACTCTATTTTAGTAGTATTGAGAGATTTATCTTTTAGCTCACTGGTTCTGGTTTCCATCTATTCAATTCTACTCCTTTGCCCTTTCAGTGTATTATTAATCGTTTGGACCTCTTTCTCTAGGTTTTGAATTGTTTCTAATGCTGTATCTATTTTATTGATTGTTCCTGTAGTGCTTTCCTGACCGCTTCCTTATTTTTCTCAACTCCATTGTAAAGTGTTTTGATACATTTTATTATCATTTTTCTGAATTCTTTCTCAGGCAGTTCCAAAGCCTGCTCTCCTTCCAGTATGGATGTAGGTCTACTTCCAGCTTATTTTTCTCAGTCACTTTATCTTGTTTCTGGACTTGTGGTGATATGGTCATCTGTTTCTGTCTTTTGGGCATATTTGGGTATTAGCTCTGGCCTTAATACTTGGATGGGTGTGTATTTTGCTATTTTTTATGCTTTCTGATTGCCTCCAGGTAGATGTGATCAGGAGATGGGCTTCCCTTTTCACTCTTCTTCCTGACATATTTTAAGATGCTACTGTTGGTCATTATGATGTAACTCAGGATTTAATTTTTGGCCTATTTCCTTTTTAGTCTGCCTGTCCTGCTCCACCACTCCTGTTCAGGCCTTTTCTCTAGTGATAAACAGTTCAGGGCCGGCTGTGGCCATTTTGCGGTGCCATTTAGTTTTATGTGGAAACTGGCCCTTTAAATTTTGAGGAGATCTGTGTGCATGCACACTAGAACTCTCCAGGTGTGGGGGTGGGGTGTCCAGTCATTCAGGCACCCCCTCTAGTCACCAGAATGGTGGTGCACAGACAGTGAAGGACCATTGAACAGGTACCAAAAAAAGAATTGATCTCCACATTTCTGTCAGGCGTAGGTGGCTGCTCTAATCCTTCCCCTACTCTGTCTCTCCCAAGATGTCTGCTCAGAGTACAGCTGAGCAGCTTGGATTAGAAAGCACTGGATTTCTTGTCTGCTACAAATTCCACTGGCTGTAAGCCTTCCAACTTTCTAAAAATTCTTTTATATGTGGTTCTGAGTTCTGGGACCATCCCCTGAGCCTGCTTGGTCTGGTATTCTGTGTTGTTGTGACGGATCTCCTCACTCTACTTCTACCCGATCCGCTATCTTGTTTGTTCTCCCGCCATCCATTTTTCAATCCAATTTTTTGATAGAAACATTTTATAGGGTTAAAAATATTTATTATAAAATATCCATTGCTTTGTTCTTTTTCCATGTAAAAATTGCAAAGCAATTTTTAACAAATTGCTTGGAAGAAGCAAAGAGTTCGCAGAATCTAGGTTATTTAACTACTAGAATATTTTTTTTAAAACAGGGTGGCCCTAATTTTAATTAAAAAACCAAATGTTTTCAATTAGGAAAGAATATTGGTACACCAAATATCTTTTAAAACAGTATTATGTTCTCAGATATGAAATATTAATACAAATAAAAATAAACACACAAATAAAGCCTTGAGCAATGTACAGTTTTGAAAAGGGCTATCATACCAGCCAAATCCTCGATCACTTTTTAAATTGATTGATTCATACCATTTTACTGCAAAAAGAATCTCAAAGATATTAAAACAGAACAAAATAACTTTTCAGTGCCTGATTCATATTTAAGTTTCACCTTGAATGTGCAAACTCAGAATTTTGCATTGTAAACTCAAATAGTCTATGCAAGAATTGTATTTGAAAACTACCATCCCCTCCAAAAAAATCACTAGGCCCTTTATTACTGGCTACAGACCCTTTCTCCCTTCTATGGGGTAGAGTGTTGTCTTCTATGGACCACCTCCCTCAGTTTCTTTTTTTTTTAGTTTCACCCCCAAGGGTAGAATTCCGGCTCTCCACTTTTGCCTTCTTTAAACCATGCCCGTGAGTCAACTTTTCCTTTCACCTCATCAGTCAGAGGTCTCATATTTACCTTAATCTGCCCTGGTGGTGGTGTGCCCTGGAGATGGTTCCTACTCATAGCGACCCTGTATAGGTTTTCTAAGGCTATAAATCTTGACAGTAGCAGAAAGCCTCATCTTTTTCTTATGGAACCGCTGGTAGTTTTCAGACTGTTGCTGACCTTAAATTAACAGCCTAATTTGTAACCACTACACTATCCTCTGCCCCTAGTCCACTCTAATCCCAATCCCAGTGTTACAGTTAGGTCCCGTTACAAAAGATTTAAAAGTTAATCTCTAGTTTCATGAGGGGAATTGATATCTAATAATGTAATCAACAATTGAATTCTAAGGACCAAGTACTTTCAGAGTTAAGATTTTGTGGATATGGAGGGAAAAGAAAGTAACTTTTAAATGGTACAGGTAGAAAATGGTGTGAGATTGAAAAGTGTGTGTGTTTTTTGTTAGTTCTCCAAATTTTCTCCCAGGCTAGGATTGGTTGGCCTTTTTTAGGTTTCATTATGGAACATTTCCTGTTGCCCAAGGATTGCCATTTTAGATCTTCTCTAATCTCTCCATGGTCCTGGCATATAGCCCTTGTTGGTAAGGTATCCTCTCCTCTAGTCTAATGTAACAATTGAATTACACGCTCTAATTATTCAAGAAGGAGAATACTTAATCTGCTGATAACTGCTCAAAAAGGTAATTAGTTTAGTTTTTTAATAGGCATAGAGTGTAATGTGGTGGAGGGAGCAGTGGACCAGTTAAATGCAATTAGAAATTTTAGGTTTGAACCTTATTTCTGCTTTTAAAGTTTTATGACCTGAAGCTTCATTTTCTCTCTCATCTATAAAATGAGGGACTATCTAAGGTCCCTCTATCCTAAGTATATATCTCCTTTCTGAGGTCATGTAGTTCTTACATGCACATGATGTTTGTATAAAAATTGAATGCCTAGTTTCGTTTGATAATATTTCTTAGACTAAAACCAGCAAGGGCTTTTTCACCTTGTTAGTAGTTAGTTGTGAATAATTTTGTGTGCTGATGATATATTCTTAAATTTATAGTATTATGTTTTGTGTTATTTTTTATTTTTTTGTATTTTAAGCTGTACTTTAAAATATATATATAATCATTCTTTTTTTGTGGTCATTATCTAAGATGGCTTCAAAAAGTTCGTGGAAAATTCCATTATGTCTTAATGCTATTTTCCCTGGAATGTTATGAAGACTGCTTTTATATGTAACAAAATATTAGCCATTTCAACATTCCTCGTATGTACAGTTCATGAAGATATTAACTTAATGTGTATTATGTTCAACCATCACCTTTATCTACTCCCAGAGTTTTCTTCTTAATCATAATTAGAAAATCACTGTCCCCTAAACATGGAGTCCTCCTTTCTGAATATTAGAAAAGTTGAAATGAACTTTAATTTTATATTTGTCTTATAGAGCTTTTCTGCTGATTTTGTACACCGACTACCTCTTTTAGGAGACAAACAGGAGGTAATTGTTTTTTTCTTGTTACATGTTTCTGGGAATAAGGTCAAAATTCTGAACTAATTTTCTTTTTTTTTAATGTTTTAAAGGCTAAGGAGAATGGAACAAATGTTACCTCTATTGGAGATAAAATTGTAAGTATATTTGAGAATTTAGAACTTACTGAGAGAATTATTAAAAAATACACAAAGCATTTCCAAAAAAGCATAAATATGTAAGTTGTAAACTAAAATGTGATTTGTTACTGTTGTAATAATGACATAAGGAATTTTTAGTTTCTGTATTCCCATATTTTCTATAATATGTTGTTGTTGTTATTAGATATTGCCGAGTTGGTTCCAATTCTTAGCAACCCTGTGCACAACAGGACAAAATATTGCCCAGTTCTGCGCCATCTTCATAATTGTTACGTTTGAGCCTGTTGCTGCTGTTATGATGTCAATCCACATAGATGGAGGGCTTCCTGTTTTTCAATGACTTTCTACTTCATCAAGCATGATGTCCTTCTCCAGGGACTGGTCCCTCATGAGAATATGTCCTAAGCATGAGAGACGAAGTCTTGCCACCCTAACTTCTAAGGAACATTCTGGCCGTGCTTCTTCCAAGACAGATTTACTTGTTCTTCTGGCAGTCCATGGTTCTTCTGATATTATTTCCCAACATCATAACTCAGATGCACCAATTCTTCTATGGTCTTCCTTATTCATTGTCCCATCTTTCACACACATGTTGAAATTACCATGAATTAGGTCAGGTGCATCTTAATCCTCAAACTGGTATTTTAAATTCTGAACACTTTAAAGAGGTCTTCTGTTGCAAATTTGCCTAATGCAGTATATCATTTGTTTTCTTGACTGCTGCTTCCATGAGTGTTGATGGTGCGTCCAAGCAAAATGAAGTCTTTAACAACTTCAGTCTTTTCTCCATTTATCCATGATGTCATTATTGGTCCAGTTGTGAGGATTTTTTTTCTTTTCTTCTTTACATTAAGTTGCAATCCATACTGAAGGCTGTAGTGTTTGATCTTTATTAGTATTTTTAAGACTTCTTCACTTAACAGCAAGCAAGGTTGTGTCATCTGCATATCTCAGGTTGTTAATGACTATTCCTCCAATCCTAATGTCATGTTCTTTTTCATATAATCCAGTTTTTCAGATTATTTGCTCAGCATACAGATTGAATAAGTATGGTGAAAGGATAAAACCCTGGTGCACCTCTCTCCTGATTTTAAATCATCCAGTATCCCCTTGTTCTATTCGAAGGACCGCCTCTTGGTCTGTGTACAGTTTTCTCATGAGCACAAGTTAAGTGTACTGGAATACATATCTTCACAGTTTTATCAACAGTTTGTCATGATCTGCACAGTCCAAAGCCTTTGTATTGTTAATAAAGTATAAGTATACATTTTTCTGATATTCTCTGCTTTCAGCCAAGATTCATCTGACATCAGCAGTGATATCCCTAGTTCCATATATCCTCTTCTGAATCCAGCTTGGATTTCTGGCAGTTCCCTGTCAATGTACTATTGCAGCCATTTATGGATCTTTCCTAGTTAGTTGGCCAGGTAGCCGTCTTCCAAATTTCTTGGCAGTGCTTCATCAGTTCGTTGAAAGATTTCAGCTTGTATTCTGTCAATTCCTGGAGCCGGTTTTTGTCATACTTTCATTGTAGCTTCCTTCAGTATGTAAGTTCTTGATCATATGGTCCATCTTGAAATGTTTGAACATAAACCATTTCTTTCTGATATTGTGTGTTACTTCCATCTTCTTTTGATGCTTTCTATGTCATCGAGGCTTGAATTTTTTCTTCAGTTCTTTCGGATTGAGAAATGCTTAGCATGCGTCACTTTTGGTTTTCTAACTCCAGGTTTTTGCACATTTCATTATAATGCTTGGCTTTGTCTTCTTGAGCTGTCATTTGAAGCTTTTTATTCAGTTTATTTGCTTCTTTGTTTCTTCCATTTGCTTCCATCTATGCTGGAGAGCAAGTTTAAGTCTTTTCTAACATCCATTTTGGTCTTTTCTTTGTACTTTGCCCTTTTATCTGTATGATGTTTTTGATGTCATCCCACAGCTCTTCTGGTCTTCAGTCATTAGTGTCTAATGCACCAAATCTACTCTTGAGATGGTCTCTTAATTCAGGTGGGATATGTTCAAGGTCATAGTTTAGTTCTTGTGAACTTGTTTTAATTTTCTTCAGCTTCATCCTTAACTTATATAATAGCAAATTGATGGTCTGTTTCACATTTGGTCTCTGACCTTGGTTTGGATGATGGTATTGAACTTTTCCACTCTCTCTTTCCACATATGTAGTCAGTTTGATTCAGTATTCCATCTTGTAAGGTCCATGTGTATATTTGTCTTTTATGTTGTTTAATAAAATTATTTGCAATGAATAAGTTATTGGTCTTGCAAAATTCTGTCTGCGATCTCCAGCATTATTTTTGTCACCAAGGCCATATTTTCCAGCTGCTAATCCTTCCTCTTTGTTTGCAACTTTCACATTCCAGTCACCATAATTATCTGTTTATTCTGATTGCTTGTTTGAACAATTTCAGACTGAAGAAAATGCCATCTCTTCCCCAGGCATATTTTGAGTGCCTTCCAACCTGCAGGACTCGTCTTATGGCACCATATCGGGCAGTATTCCTGCTGCTGTTTTAAGGTTTTCAGTGACTAAACATTCAAAATAGTCCACCTCTCCTTCTTATTTTGTCTTAGTCTGGAAGCTCCGCTGAAACTTGTCCACTGTGGGTGACCCCGCTGATATTTAAAAAATGGTGGCATAGCTTCCAGCATCACAGCAGCACGCAAATCACAGCAAAAATGAAATGACTGACAGAGTGGTGGCCCACAATGAGTATATATTTTTAAGTAGCCCTCCCTGCCCCCATACCTTTTTTGTGGAATCTTTTGATTTTGTGTCTTAGAATCCTATATGATATTATTTTCTAGCAATATTGTCAGTTTTGTATGATTATAGAGAATACATGCATATTAATCAAAATGAGATCATATCCATTCTGTTTTGTAAGTTCTTTTCTTTTTACCTAATGAAGTAATTTTTTCCAAATTGGCACAGTGAGTACTATCTCACTTTGGTTTGTCAAATTGCTGTGCAGAAAAGTTGTAGCAATATATGGTCCCAACAAAGTGGGAGATACTTTCCCTTGTTCCTCAGCAACAATGGACTGTAATATATAAAACAGATTTTATGCAATTTCTCAGGTGAACATGATAATTTACTATTCTAAATTATATTTAAAAAATTGAAGTATAATATTCAATTGTATGCCTGTTAAGTGTTTGTAATTGTGCTTTCTTCATTTATCTTGTGGACCCAACATACTTTAGTTTTCCCTAAGGCATGTACTTTGTTCTTAATGCTCAAAGCTGGCTGAAAGATGACTGTTGAATGAATAATAGAATTAATATTTATAGATACTTTTCAGATTATAGTGAAAACAAAAGTCAGATATCTGTGCTTTGATCTTTCTTTCTGACAATTGGGCCTAAAGAGTAGAATTGTTTATAATCCTTTTTAAAAGATACTGACAAGTTTACTGTTCTTACTTCCTGTCTTTTTAAAGCTCCAAAGGATTATTTAATAAAAAATATAAATCAAGCATATTATGAAGGAAACCACTCTTGTATATTTTTTACTAAGTGCATTGACAACTGTGTTGCCTTATTAAATACCTAATAGGGCTAGTAAAGGTTTATTGAAGGGAAATTAAGAATGTTGAAGTTATATGAAGACCGACCCTAAGTTTTAAAAATAGTCTGCTAAGCTTGGAGGAGATATATAGTAGTTGAGGTGGCAATTAATTAAGAGCCTTGGAGTAAGATATTATAGATCCAAAATCCAACTCCATAAATTCCTAAATCTTTGGATAAATTATTCTCTTGTACCTCTGTTTCTTAAATGATAAAATGGAGCTAATAATAATACCTGGGAGTGTAGTGAGTGGCTCTGTGTATTAAGCACTGGACTGTGAACCACAAGATCTGTGGTTCAAGCCCTCTAGCCACTCCTTGGGAGAAAGAAGAGGCTTTCTGCTCCCTCGAAGGTTTAAAGCCTCGAAAACACTATGCAGGGTCACTAAGGTTACCTAATGACAACAGCTATCATACCTAATGATAAGGTTGTTGTGAGTGTAGAGAAGGTAATAAATGTTACTTGCTTAACAACCTAACAGAATGGCTGGCACTCAGGTATTCTTTTTATGAGATCAAACTTTCTATATTCCTGGAGTTAGATGTAAGCTTGGTTAAATTCTTGATTATAAGAACTATTTCCCCCTAGAAACTTAGAAGAGGTGGTTTTAAGATAAAGCTAATAGCAGTGTAGCTTATTACCCCAAACAAAGTTGAACAGGTTAATGATTAGGTTCAGGAAAGATCCAGTTAATTATGGGTAATAGGATGTGTGATGTGCCTGTAACTTAGAGGCTGTATATTTTTCTCATAAATTCTTCCTAAGTCTTGTCAGAGAGAGATTGTTGTTAAGTGCTATCGAATTGGTTCTCACTCAGTGACCCTTTTAGGACTTCTGACTAGTGACTGGTGGATTTGAATTGTATAGTTAGCATTCCAGTGCTTATCCGATAGCTCCACACCAGAAGAGAGATTAGGCAGAGATAAATCCAAATACCACTCAGGATGGCATTTATGTTCTTAAGTTACTAAGATAAACTAATAAATGAATAGCCTTTTGAGAATTTAGTAAAAGTCATGGTCCCGCAGAAAAGTGGATGAATGTGCAAATTTTGGAATCCTTTTTGAAGGATATCTTAGATCAGCTTGAGGGTACCTCAGAGCTCCCTGGATAAAAGCTTCTCCTTTTAAGAGAAGAGCTTAATAATTTTCAAGTCTTAGCAGTACCTTATTTGAGAGATGTGAAAGAAACCTGTTGTTTGCTATGTGCTTCTGTTTTATCTTCATATCTTAGTTTTGTGATTGTGAAGCCCCATAGTCTATTTCTAGCATATATAACAGTAAATCTTTTTAAGGCTTTTTGCTAGGGGTATGTACAAGTTATCTGGTCTTGGATCAAATTCTTCCTGATTAACCTGTTCTGTGAACATGGAGGCTTTTAACATCCTTAATTTGAGGAACAGGACTCTCCCTTACCACATATGCTAGCCCAAGAGTAAATTTTTGATATGAATGTGTGACCATGTCAGCAGAAATGGAAATCTTTCAACAAAGTGAGGTGGCACTAGAGGCACACACTCATCTATGCCAAGAAATTTGGAGGGCAACTCTCTGGCTAACTGATTGGAAGAGATTGGTATTTGTGCCCATTCCAAAGAGAGGTGACCCAACAGAATGCAGAAATCATCGGACATTATCTTTGATAACCTGTGCGAGTAAAGTTTTACTAAAGGTAATACAGAAATGGCTGCAAGCATACATTGACAGAGAACGTCCAGAGGTTCAAGGTGGATTCAGAAGAGGACATGGAATGAGGGATATCATTGCTAACATCAGATGGATCTTGGCTGAAAGCACAGAATACCAGAAAGATGTTTACTTGTGCTTTATTTTGACTCTGCAAAGGCTTTTAATTGTATCATGACAAGCTCTGGACAACACTGCAAAGTATGAGTATTCCTGAACACATAATGTGCTCATGAGGAACCTGTACATAGACCAAGAGGCAGTTGTTCGAACAGAACATGGGAACACTGAATGATTTAAAATTAGGAAAGGTATACGACAGAGTTATATTCCTTCACCATACTTATTCAACCTGTATGCTGAGCATATAATCCGAGAAGCTGGGTTATATGAAGAAAAACATGGCATCAGGATTGGAGGAAGAATCGTTAATAATCTGCAATATGCAGATGATACAACCTTCCTTGCTGAAAGTGAAGAGGACTTAAATACTTAATTATGAAGGTCAAGACCATAGTCTTCACTATGGATTACATCTTAATGTAAAGAAAACAAAAATCCTCACCACTGGACCAATAAACATATATAAGTGGAGAAAAGACTGAACTTGTCAAAGACTTCATTTTGCTCAGATCAACACTCAACACTCAGGGAAGCAGTAATCAAGAAATCAAATGATGTATTGCATTAGGCAAATCTGCTGTACAAGACCTTTTTTTTTTTTTTAAGTTTTATTGTGAATTATATGACAGTTTACATGGGAGAGCATTAGTTTTACACTCATTGTATATTGTTTCATTGCCATGGTTACAATCCCCTCCATGCATCACCAATCAATGAAAGGGTGCATCCTATAAACCTGCCTCCTTCCCCCTTCGCCCAGTCATCAGCACACAGCCCCTCTTCCTCCCTGGGTCCTGAGTCCTTTGCCTCCATCTCGGGGATCGCTGCCTCTCTGGGTAGGGTTCCGCTCTCCGTTCTTCTCCCTTCACGGTTCCAGGGACCTCCGCTCTCAGCCTGCAAAGTCAGTCACTCCCCTCCTTGCCACAAAATGCCCACTTTTACATTTACAACCTTCACAATGAGTCCTGGTAACAGTTACTCACCCTTGCATCACAAGAGACCTATTCGCATTTCCTTTAATCAGTCATGCCTAGACAGATTGGATACTACTCAGTGGAGATTCTACCTTGCTCCATGCTCTCTGTATCTAAGTTCCCTCTTGAAAGCTTGTAAGCCAGTCACTTCTTGCCTTTGTAGCACCCCCATTTTGGATACCCAATGTCCAAGTTGCCCATCCCTGTCTATTCTGTGTATGGACGGATGTACAAGACCTTTTTAAAGTGTGAAGAGCAAAGATGTCATTTTGAGGACTAAGGTGCGCCTGACCCAAGCCATGGTATTTTCAGTAACCTCAGATGCATGTGAAAGTTTAACAGTGGAGGTGGTGGAGGAATTGATGCATTGAGTTACAGCATAGGAGGAGAATATTGAAAGTGCCATGGACTGCCAAAAGAACAAACAGATCCGTGTTGGAAGAAGTACAGTCAGAGTGCCTCTTGGAGGCCAGGATGGCCAAACTTCATCTCTAATACTTCGGACATATTGTCAGGAGGGTCCAGTCACTGGAAAGGGATATCATGTTTGGTAAGGTGGAGGATTAGAGAAAAAGACCCCCAGCGAGATGGATTGGCAAAGTGGCAGCATCATTGGGCTCAAGTGTGGCAACAATTGTTAGCCCAGGACCGGGCAGTTTTTCGTTCTGTTGTGCATAAGATTGCTATGAGTCGGCATCGACGTGATAGTACCTTAACAGCAACAGCATGTCAACAGAAATTCTGGCCATTGAATAAAAGGAACTAGATTTAAAAATTGTTTTTCACAATTCATGTTTACTCACAAAACCGTAGTTATTTTAAAGTGATTTACGTTAATCTCCTTTGTTTAGGACATTTCTGTAAAATATTACCTAGTATTTTAGCATGATTTTGTTAAACACACATTCACCTTAACAATTGTTTTAATACAAGAAATAATCCTTTTAATACAAGAAAATCTATGAAATGTTTGATTTTATGTGTAGTAAGATAGGTAATGTCCTGGCTTTCAGTAATTTATAATTAAAACTATTTTGTTGTATACATTTAAAAATTTTTATTTTGTGGTACCCACTGTTTTTTGGATGAAAGTTTAAGACTCTTATTGTGTTTTTGGGTAGATTTCTGGAGTATAATTTCATATTTTATTTTTAACCTCTATTCTAAATTCTTAAGGAGCTCTGGTAGCGTAGTGGTTACGAATCGGGCTGTGAACCTTAAGGTCAGCGGTTCGAAACTGCCAGCCGCTCCGCGGGAGAAAGATGAGGCTTTCTACTCCCGTAAAGATTTACACCCTCGGAAACCCTGTACAGGGTCGCT